GACTGAAGATGACTTAAATACAAGTTGAAACGTTTCGACATAAAAAATCGACTATATCTTTGCAAAAAACACCCTGCTTCTGGTTCCTACTGGCCGAACTTTTTACACAATTGTTTTTATTTAACTTATGTCTCACAAAGCTTTACACACAATTTTTCTTTCAAAGACGTACAATATTTATATATTTATATTTTTTTTATATATTTATATATATTTATTATATATATTTATTTTTTATATATTTATTTTTTTCCAAAATTTACAGTCTTGAAAAAAAGAACGTAATATTATTGATGATAGTAAAACATTTCAAGATGCATTATATATTTTTTTTGAAATTATTACATATGAGTTAACTGAAAGAATTCAAAAGTTGTTTGAATATTGAAAGTTATTAGTGTTCTTTTTTTATATATTTTTGTTTTGTAAATTATAACAAGAGAATCTACATTTTTCAGACATATAATCTTAAAATACTTACTTCATATTATACAAAATCCAATTAATTAATATATTATATTTATATGATATGTTATATGAAAATACTTTATTAAATACTTTTGGATTGTGCATGTGTAAAATGTAGATTCTTTTCGTAATTTACAAATTACAAAAATATAGAAAAATTAGTAATACTAATAATATAGTTTATATACATATATTAAATGTTTTTCAATCATCTAAAAACTTTAAAATTATTGCAGTTAACTTTTAATAAGAATTAATAAAAATGTAATAATAAATGCATCTTGAGATGTTTAACTCATCCTTATCAATAATATTATCTACTTTTTCCAAGATTGTAAGTCATGGAAAAGCAGTTTGCGTTGTCATATTGTCATACGCTACAAGCGCGCAACGAAACATTGCTTTCTGGCCTCAATGTCTTGCTGGCGTAGCGGGCTTGGTGGACGCGGGGCAGAACATAGTATGTCCGCGCTCTTTCACGAGCCGAACAGCCGAGCGTTACGTCACGCACACGGACGGCGGTTCTCGCTTGTGTGCATGCTCCCACCACCTTGATGCTTTTGGTGCTAGTCTGCCAGAACTTTCATCACTGGACAGCAGCAGGGAAAATGGAAGTAATGAGCGTAATGACAAAGAGTGTTTTCTGGATTGAAAGAACACTTTATTTACACTATGTACAATCTTGTTGGTTTTTTTTTATAAAGAAGTGACCCTGAAAGAGCTATTTGTGGTGGCCCTGATGAGGGCCGTTTTTTCTTTTCTTCTTCTCGAGTTCTCTTTTCAAAAGCTTTGTCTTTGTTAATTTCCACTCCTTGTGGATGATCTTGGAAGGTTGAGATAGCGATTTCGGTGAAGTTCGATCTTAGTCAGTCTGCGTGGCAGTAGTGATAGTAGTCACTTCCGGCTCTTTCTCCCAGTCGCTGGCAAGTCTGGTCCTCTGTCGTGGGCTGATATTTGAATGCTCTTGTGATTCGGTTGATCTGCGTCTGTGTTGCAACGTGCTGGTGCTTCTTGGGCAGCGGCGAGATAGGCGGCGGAAGTGGTCGTCCCAGCCAGCTATCCGAAGATGACGTGTATTTTCTCACTCGGACGCCTTCTCCTACATCGTCAGGAGTGCTCTCGGCGGCCTGGTGAACTTTAGCGGTGACACCTCGACCGGGATCAGACACCACAGTAGAAGCTTCTCTCCTCGGAGTGGATCGAGCGGTTCAGGCAACCCTGGTGTTTGGATCGGCTTAGCTCCTCTGTAAGACCTAGGGGGATCTTGCGGCGGAATGCCTTAAATTGCTCCTAATACAAAAGAGAAGGATCTCAGAGACACCTGTACTCAAGCTTGATAGCGAGCGATCGTTTTATCAAACTGTCGGAGCATATGTCACTTGCGGGCAAACTGGTGCCGTGTAGCTGCGGCGTGATGAACTAACCGCGTTGCGGCAGGCTGCCGGCGACGAGCTTAAGGCCGCCTCGCTGTTTGCTCAATATGTTGTAGTGTAAAGTCACCACAATTATTATAAAACCATATTTATTTTTTTTAATTTTTCTATCATACTATTTTCTTTTTGTCTTTCATTTTTTTATCATATTGTGTTCTTTTTGTCGGGAAATCTAGATACATTCAAAAAGATATTTCTTTACGAAAAAATAATTACATAATTAAGTAATAATTGATACTTATATATATATATATATATATATATATATAATAAACATAAATACAGTTTAAATATAAAGTAAATATTGTATTTATATAAATATGTTTATAAGTAAATATTTCTAAAAATATATACTTTTATATGCAAATAATGTAAAAATACATTTTAAAGGAGATATCAGATATATGATATCCTAGAAATATTCAGAATATATCAAATACTGAGACTGGCCCAGTGATCTCGCGGCCTGAGTGCAGAGGCTGCGAACCCGGAGGTCCCGAATTCGAATCCGCTCACCACCTGAAGGATAGTAAGGATTTTTTTCCGGATCGGTCCCCTTTAACCGAGTTTATCGGTTGATCGGCAAACTAAATCGGGCCTCCTATAAGTAATCGGTCTGGAGGCTTGCAGCCCATGCATCGGGTCTGCAAGTAGAGATCCCGAGTTCGAATCCTTATCTTCGGATTCTGGCTGGTCCTTCCAGTTTCGGGCGCAGCTCCCCAGGGCAGAAATAAATCTAGGGAAATCAGTATACCGACTGAGATGCGAACTGAATCGGGCTCTAGGGCGGGAGTCACGGAAAATTTTTGCAAAAAGATTTAGGTGACATTCTAGGGAGTGATTTCACAGCCCACCCGCTCTAAACATATCTATCTATCTATCTATCTATCAAATACTGAGATATCTCAATTATGACTACAATGTATCGACAAAATGATATCTGATTTAGATCTGAGGTATATTTTGCTATATGGGAAGTAATGCGTTACTTCTCGACTGTGGTATGTATACATATACAGGGTGTTCCATAACTCACGACCTTAAATTAAATGACGTATTCCTGAGATCATTTTGAGACGAAACTTCTAATACCATATTGTCGAGGCTACAATACTTTTTGAATTATAAGCGTTTAAAAGTGACCTATCTGGTGGTCTGTTTTTTGCGCGCTCAGGTACGGCGCATCGTACATGACAGTGTTCTTGTTTCGATATACTTGACATTTTGATAATTATGTTGAGATAAATTTTCTTAAAAAATGTTTTTTATTGAATTATAGTTACATAAACATAATATTAATACAGTGAGTATATAAATGTAAACAGTTTCATCAAATTCTTGTAGAATTTTAATCACGTGTTTGACGAGCTGTCAAAGTTATAGTATAAAACTGGCCTATGCTGTATTGATTTTTTTGGTTTGTAGTAAAGTTGCTGCAATCAATAATTTTCAATATACTCGAGAAATTAATAACATTTCTATTTATTACATTTATTTAATTTTATACAATATAGAAAATATTTTTTAAATTAATAACAAACAAGTCTTAAAAATAAATACTAAATCAAATAATAATACATATGTACATATTTCAATTGTAAATAAAATAACAGTAACCACTATTTGAATAGAATAACATTAATAACATTAACAAAATAATTATTACATTTTAATAATCGCGACGAATTGCGACAAAGAATTGTAGAGGCAATAGGAACTATTACAGAAGAGATGATAGTAAATACTGCTAATAATTTGCTTCGTCGGGCACGTTTATGTTTAGAAGCGGGAGGAGGACACACACACATTTCGAACATTTATTATAATACAGTATTAAAATGTAATAATTATTTTGTTAATGTTATTAATGTTATTCTATTCAAATAGTGGTTACTGTTATTTTATTTACAATTGAAATATATACATATTTATTATTATTTGATTTAATATTTATTTTTAGGACTTGTTTGTTATTAATTGAAAAAATATTTTTTATTGTATACAATTAAATAAATGTAATAAATAGAAATGTTATTAATTTCTCGAGTATATTGAAAATTATTGATTGCAGCAACTTTACTACAAACCAAAAAAATCAATATAGCATACTCCAGTTTCATACTATAACTTGGACAGCTCGTCAAACACGTGATTAAAATTCTACAAGAATTTGACGAAACTGTTTACATTTACATACACAGTTTGTCCGGAAAGTTCCCGGACTGATTTTTTCTAGCGCGGGTAAGCGGCGCTATCGAGCGGTCAACGCTG